CTCCGCGCAAGGGGGATGACGTTCGCACCACGTGCCAAAACGGTCAAGCACCCTCGAGGCAGTTACACATTGCTGACAAATGTCTCTGGAAGTGAAAGCACCAGAAAATAAACTAAGTCATACGCAGCTGTCACCCGTATGCAAGGAAGTAAGCACAAGATGCCGAACACCCTTAGCAGGATGCAGCGCACCCTTCATGCGTCTCGCCGAATATCTCACGGCGCTTCGCGCTTGATGATGTGTTTTCCCGTTGCGGTTGTGTGCATACATTGTATATGCTAAAGCCGTCGGGATGAAACGTGTGTTTGTGTTCGATGCCAACGCATTCATGAGCTTTCCTCTTGATTGCCCTCTGCTGTTGCTAAATTCTCGTTCTAATCTGCTGTGCCAGCAGTTAATTATATCGTGCACAGCATCGCAGAAGGACTGAATCCCCACAGCAGTAAAGATGGGTCTCACCGGATTGCGTGTATATATACATGTTGTGCTTCTTTTGCATACAAAGCGGTCGGAATCGCCTCTTCAGCCTACTTTGTTTGGTACTACGAATATAGATCCCCGCTGCTCAACAGCGGTACATATGTCCACTTCGTATGCATAGATTATACGGCAGCATAAAAATATGTTCTGCGGTCTGCTGGGTGTACAGAAGCAGCACAAGAGAGGTACGCATGTATCATACGCCGATACACTCCACACCGATCCATAACTTTTTTTGCACGTGAAGCGAGCACTACAGCAGTATACCTTGGAACTGATGCACACTGCACACACACGACGACTGCTGCTGTACACGGCTTGCCATTGTTTGGGGGATGCATCCCGATCGACGTCGTTCGTGGGCGCATCGAGATTGTTTCGACGACTGCTGATTGATGTGATGAGATGTGACGCGTGAGGGCCGGTATGCACATTGTACATACAAGGCACGGCTTGGTGAGGCAGCCACTGCAGAGCATGCTCCCTCGAAACGAAGAACCACTGCTGCGCTGCAGCCAGGTGCAGAAACCGCTGCAAGTAGGGAAGCCTTGGAAGGGTTACAGCAGTATTTAGGATACCTTCCTTCTTGGGGGATGATGCAGTTTGGCCGGTAGGGCTGATGGAGCTTCCTATTCGAACAACGAAGAGCTTGTTCTGGAGAAAAAATATTGTCGAGAGTTAGCAATTGCCCCGAAGAAATAGAACGTTGAACAACGGCCTCGAATCGAGCATGCTGCACCCACGCGTTCCTTGGCCTGCTGGCGGCACACGCTGACGTACGCGAGGACTAATCTTCGGCACAAGGACCGAGCAAAAAACACAGCCAGCGAGCGGTGATGATGGATACAACAACCCGCTGGGGGAAATGAATTGATTGTTATGTAAGTAACGAGGATGAATGAGGAGTCGCTTTTTTTTGTACGTAACACGCTGCACTCCGCTCTTGTTGTACTCACCAAGCTGCTGGTCCACGCTCGCTGACACCTTCGTCTCGTCCGGCACACTTGACGAGCAACCCATGACAGCTTATGGTGTACAGCTCCCGCTTTCTCCCTGGCTCCCAGGCGTCCTGGCAGTTCCCTTACCTGGAAAAACACCCTCAGCGCCGCGGGCGCGATGTGAGGGCAACCGATGCAACCTCCTGACGTGAGGTCTTTCCGCGGCACAACAAAATCGCCCCTGTAACGGGTACTACTGCTGTAGGTCACCGGACGACTTCGGAGAGATCGCCGCCGAGGCAGCTCTGCTGGCTGGTAACCCCAGAAGGAGGCTCGGCCGTAGATTTTCTTCTTGTGATCCAGCCTTCGGCCGTTGCCAGCAGCCGGCCACGGCTTGTCGCACGTCCTGCTGTCTGCGTCTGTCTGTCTGCCTTTGGCACTGCCGTTCTCCGCACCGTTGCGCTGCTGTTCAAACAGTCTAAATTTGTTTGTCGTTTCGTTCGGAAGAATCACCGTTGCTGCTGCTCCTGCTGCCCCGTTCAACTTTCGCGCGCAACAGGCGGCCTCTCTCCTGAGGCCGTGAAGGAGAGTGCGTGGCGCAAGGAACACCGTAGATGGGTCGCCGATGTAGTGCAAAGATGCGATGTGGACGATGGTCTGTTCGCGTACACTGACTACTTCTGTACATCCATCATCCGAGAGAGGGAGATTTAGGGGTGACGCAAGTTTGCATAGAAATCTGCAGCCCCTCCCACGCTGCCCCTCTTGGTGTTCCGGTCCGTGTTCCGAGGACTGAGCAGGGGAACGGTGCCAGCAAATGACAAACGACTGCTGTGCCGTCCTTTTGTGGCACATCAGCCAGACAGCAGAGAGAGATAGCAGCCCATCCGTGTTTAAGGCGTCAATGTAAGCAAGTGTGTGAAGCTCTCATGACTCGTTGTTGATAACACGCCAGGGTGTGTGTGTTGACAACCTGTCGACTGTCCGATGTGTCCCGAGGCGGGCGGCGTATCTTGTAAAAGCTGCACATGATATCTTGTAGTCTCGGGCTACTGACTACAGTTGTAGTTCCCCTACCCTCTACTTGCCTGCGCAAAACCGTTAAAACATCTTCGAACTACGCTGAGAGTGAAAATAACGCACTCGCACTTCTACATCAAAGCTGATGCATCACAAGTCACAAGACTTTACCCAAACGGGCTGTGCAACAATCGGACATCATTAGACTTCTTATCATCTTCCGGCGGTGTGGCACGAGCGGGTAAACAACAAAGAGTACCGCTCGGGTCGTTCAGTAGCCCGTAGGCCGGCGGGCGACTCTTCTTCCCTGAGCCAAATGTTTGCCCACCCGAATTGCATCAAGGTACCGCCAGCTAAGAAAATCACAAGTTTGGCAACGCCAGAAGGCAGAGTTGTGTTTTGCGGCGGATTGGGTAGTCGCCTGCCGGTGCGGTGTTTGTGAGCCCATGCCAACGTGCTGAAGGCGTACCTCCCTTCAACGCAAGGGGGGGCAAAGACAAGGTTCTTCTTCTGCAACAACAACTCGCGGAAGTGCATCCTTGACTGAGTCTCGCCTCACCACACGGGACCCCAGTTGCAACATCAGACCACAAAAAAACAGCTTCATTGGAAGTACGTTGGGATCTACAACACTAATCTTTCGTTTCTGCTTTCCTCCGCCTTCAACCCTTTCCCCCGTCATCAGCAAATATCCACACATTTCACTTTCTCTCTGACGAAAAACGAGATATTGCCGCCAAGGCTTCCTCTTCCTGAAGTCCCGTCTCGTAGTGATCCACAACTCGGATGCCAACACCGGCCGCTTGTTCTGCAGCCACAGCTAACACGTTGGCCGTCGTTGTTTCTTTCGGCCGAAGCAGGTTGCAGGCGGCCTCGAACGTACCGTCTTCTCTCTGAAGGGTTAGTGATTCCACCTGCAAGTGGATTGGATTTCCCTGGGCGGCTTAGCTCGATAAAATTGTTGGGAAACGGTCGTTGCTGTGTACGTCATGCACCGCCTTGCTGAAATAGTGACTGGGTTCGTCGCTTCGGTGACGTATCATAGCATCAGCTCACAGTTCACGATGGATGCGGTTTCCTCGCGCTTCGCGTTTAAAGTCATACCATCCCAAAGCAGTGGGCGTAACGTTGCGGGAAATGGTAACACATCGGCCTGAACCAATGCTCCACGTAAAGGGCTTCCATGGCGAAGATCGCTTTCACTCCAAGTCAAAGGATCCGTTGAAATGCCATGTACACTTTCGGGCGTAGGAACCCAAACCAAGCGCGTTTAGGAAAACCAAGTGATGGTGCATAACAGCTCGTAATTTACGGGAAAACGTTTTCGACAAGCGAGGCGGTTTTCGACAGAATATTTTGCCTCGTAAAAATTAAGATTTCTCCCTCGACCATATCGATTGGTTGCTCCGTTCCGCGAAAATATGCCAATGGAAAACGTCCCGCTGCATGAGGTTGATCAAAATCGATTGCAACATATGGTTGCTGAACGAAACGACTCATGCTCCTCCGTCAACGAATCAACTGCCAGATTCAAAACAAATCACGATATTTTGGTGTGCTAGGTACGGTTTTGTGCGCGGTTGTGTGGACAACCGTACGTGCGACGCGCCCACACACACACCGTGCTCTGTATGCACGCAAACGCAAACACCCACGCCCACGCCCACGCCTACTGGTGCGGGAGAGCAGTTGGTTTGTGTGTCTATATGTGAAGGAATAGTGCGAATTGTACTACGCGAATGTTTGCGCCATGGTGATCAAGCAACTTACTACGCGAATGTTTGCGCCATGGTGATCAAGCAACTATTGTTAGGTATAGCGTTTGGATATGTCTGGCCGCGAGGCCGCGGATGGTGCAAACGGCGCACACAATGCATCTAGAGGAAATATTTCCATCTTGGATGTACCCACGTTACAGTATGCTAACAACAAGGCCGCTTGAGAACCGTTACGAAGTACGGGCTTCTGTGTGGTCTAGATGAGTCTTGCACCGTCATCAAGGTCGTGGTTTCATATTCTACGGGATGTTGACTAACCGCATGAAGAAATAAACTGCGATGGCAACAGACTGCGATTGATATCTACTTCCCTTCCGTTTCTTGACGTTTACACTAAGAGGTGGCGTTCGCCATGTGAGGAAATCCGCGAAGAGACAATTTTGACATCGAACGAAAGCCCACAAAGCTGTTCTCCTCTTTGAATGCTACTGGTTGAGGTAGATTTTGTCCATGGTTGTTTTCGATACAGTATCGATGTTCCCTCCTGGGAGCACAATATGAGCAATCTTGAGACCAAACAACAGAAGGGAGGGGGTCAGTGAGTGAGCTTACCCACGGCAATCCGCCATCTTTCTCTCGCAGGCTTCGAGTCACTTTCGAAGCCAGGCGCTTGTCATCGGTGCTCAGGAGGATATTGTAGTTTGTCACCAGCGGGGTGCAGCCGACGGTGGCAATACCTCGAGACGCATCCACCTGCCGACAGCGATGGCAGACGCGAGGCACGAGATAGATTTTTCGTGGAACGCGGGTCGGCGGCAAGTAGGAGCAGTCGGTTCCTGTGTCAACTCGCGCTCAGGGTATGAGAGTTTTGGGGTGTGTGGGTAATCCCCACTAGGAATTAGAATCGTGAGGGTGATGTCGTAGGTCCACGCCTTGTTCACTACAAACGTGTCCGGTGACTCGTTCTATTGTAGCTGACCGGACTACACGGATGGATGTCGAAAGGCAACTAGAGGGTGCTATTACAACACACACTCCCACCTCGTTTGGCCCAAGGTCTGCATCGATCGTCGCGGGGAGCTCTCCGCCGACAAAGTAGGGTGTTGATCTCCGCACCTGCCAACGATAGCATAGACAGAACAGCAGTATTATTGATGGTACCTGCTGTATATCTACCTTGTGGAGTTAAGTCACAGGACGCTGTGCTCAAACAACAAACTGAATTCGGCATCTCTCGACCCTCGACGGGATGCATCACACAACAACGCGGGCGATCGTGGCTGCCCCCATTATGCTACTAGAACTTGGCGTTCATTCTGCTTGTCTGACATCGCTGTGGTCTCTTCTGCCAAGCACATTATGAAGGAGAGTACTGTAGATGCAGCAGTACTTCAAACCGCAGCTGCGGTGTGGTCTGGTTTGCCGTTCGCCGGCGTCGTGCCGCACAAAAGTACTCAACCATAAGTCTGGAGATAAATGTATAAAAACCTACAAGCTCACGTAGTATTTTGAGGTTCTTCGCGATAGTCGCTGCGCTTGCGTGGACAGCAGGTAGTGCGACGCACTGACGTCATCGTCGGCCTCGCGCCACCCGACCGTGCAATGAAAGATACACCGAGCCAGCGCCTCAGGACTGCCCCCTGCGATTTGTCGTACGTTTCCAATACTACGAAGCACGTGCACCACATAAGCTCTGCCATCCAGAAACGGCCTCGACCGAAAAAGAGCATGGTTGGAGGCGCGGGGGGGTCTACGGCTCAAGCACCCAAAAGTCATGTACACACTTTAAAGTCCTATGCCGAAAATCAACTCTACAGCAGTGTCGACGGATGCCCAAAGGCAAAAAACAAAAAACAACACCACTTCCTCCGGAAAGTACCAAACAAGTTATCATTAACACGGCCATCTATTCTATTTATAATATCATCGCTAGAGAAACCTGTGTTCTCTCCATTGCGTCTGCCTTTTCCACTTAGCCCGCAATAGGGACTGCATTGCTTCATGAGCGTCGCATCATGGCATCAAGAAGCAGGTATTTAACCGCGGCGTGCCACGTACACGTTCCCCATCGTACAGAGACTCGTTTTTTTCAGCCCGAACTTTTCAACTCTCAGGTTCTCAAGTGCGGGCGCTAACTCCTGACCATGTAGACCTCCATGACAAAAATCGGAGTTTGTGTTTAATTTCTCTGCTTTCGGCACTCACAAAAACCAAGTGGGCATTCATGCTGCACAAATTTCCATTAACCTGCAGTGCGTGGTTTACAAGCCCTTTCCAGCCCTTCCAGCGGAGAAATAACCGCCGTGCCCTTGGCTCAATCTCACCTCCGCTAACTGTCTGCCGTTCTTTAGGTCGCCGTACAGCAAGACGGGTAGGCCCACATCCTTGCCCAGTGCCGTCGCAATGGCCAAGCCTGCCTTCAGAGCAATCTCCTGGCTGCCTCTCCCCCCCAGTGGGTGCACTGACACATGATCCACCACCCCGATTCGGGGGTGAGTTGCCTCGTGCTCGAGAAGATCGATTGCGAGGACGGCGCGACGGCTAACCTCTACCGAAGCTCTCGCCACGGCATCGGGACACGCGCCGCCTATCGTGAAGCCCGTGCGGTGGTACTGGGGATCTCTGAATTGCCTGATCAGGCCAGCGGTACCGGGAGCAGTCGTCCTTGCCGCCTCGGCCAGAGCATCCAACAGCGTGTTGTTTCTCCCTTCTGACACATACACCACGGCGCAGCACCTGGCAGGGGCTCCTGAACCGTACTCTCGGCAATTCATGTTGATGTTGCCGATCCGACGTCGCAAATATGGCTGCCGTGTGCGTAAACGCAGCAGCAGCATTGATTGTTGGGTTTTATAGCCAGCGCCAAAAAGGAGACCGGAAGCTCTCCCCAACAAAAGCTGTACATGTGTACATACACCAACACGACAAGTGGGCTACAGATGGTGCTTTAGAAAACTCAACAGAAGATGCTCACATCCGAAAGGTGAATTGACTGTAGACTACTGTGGGGAGCGTCAGCTCGTCAGCACACGGCACGATCGGGGCGGCAAATATGTGTAGCCGCGCCCCGCGCCGCCGCCGCACATCTCACAGTCCCGAGGCGGCCCCGCAATCTCACAGCCCTCAAATAGTGACAATGCACGAAAACCAGTCCTAGACATCTGCGGACCCCCCTTATTTCGAAATTTGAATCGGCGGCTGCTGGGTGTGTCGGTCGCTTGTGCGATGCTTCGTCCGGCAACGTCGTGGAAGGTACTGCTGCTGTTGCTGCCCTTCGCTACACTACTTCTGCTGCAAAAGAGCAACACCTTGCTTGTCATGGCTTCCTCTGTTGCGGTCGCCTCTCCTTCCACCTCGCGCTCTTTTGTCGTCATCGTAGCCGCCACCGCCGGCTCCCTCGGCATCGGTAAGAACGGCGCCCTTCCCTGGCGCCTGGCCGCCGACATGGCCTACTTCAAGCGCTGCACGTCCACCCCCACAACGAGCAGTGGCACCATCACCGCCACCACCACCACGGACAAGATCAACGCCGTGATCATGGGCCGCAAGACCTGGCAGTCCATCCCCGAGCGATTCCGCCCCCTCGCGGGCCGCCGCAACGTCGTGCTCAGCCGCAACCCCGCGGCCAGAGATACCCTCCGCCTCCCCAAGGACGTGCTCCTAGCCGGCAGCCTCACCGAGGCCCTGGATCTCCTCTCTCCCGCTGCCGCCTCTGAGGTGGACAAGGTATTCGTTATCGGTGGGGGCTCGGTCTACGCGGAGGCCGTGGCGTCGGAGCTTTGCGAGAAGGTGCTGCTGACCTCGGTGACCCCGCCGGCGGACGGGCGCTGCGACGACTGCGACACCCACTTCCCGGCCCTCGACCCGGACACGTTCAAGCTCGTCAAGAAGGGCGAGGTTCAGGAGGAGAAAGGCGTCGAGTTCTCCTTCGACGAGTATGAGAGTGTCAACCACTCGGAGGCGGCGGCGGCGATGGCTGCGGCCGAGGGGGACAAGGAGAACGCAGCCGCAGCAAGCGTCGTAGGATCCAAGCGCAAGTCTTCTCCCGGCGGAGACCAGATTGCCGCAACCGGCGTTGAGACGCCCGTGGCGGCGGCGGAAGGCGACGGCGGAGGTACCGCAGACGCAGCGGCAGCAGCAGGCTCGGCCTCGACAGCACCAGCGCCCCAGGAGGAGGCGGAGGGCGGTCCGGGGAACGAGGAAGAGATGCAGTACCTCAACCTGGTGGAGGACATCCTGGACAATGGCTTCCGCAGGGGGGACCGCACGGGGACGGGGACGCTGTCCAAGTTCGGCGTGCAGATGCGCTTCAGCCTCAGGGAAGAGCGCTTCCCGCTGCTGACCACCAAGCGCGTGTTCTGGCGCGGCGTGGCGGAGGAGCTGCTGTGGTTCGTCGCCGGGTGTACAAACGCGAACGTGCTCAAAGAACGGGGGATCCACATCTGGGACGGTAACGGGTCGAGGGAGTTCCTTGACGGGTGAGCTATTTGGGAGACGACCTCGATGTACACAGCTGCTGCTGTGGAGCGCTAATAATTTTCCCAGTCGATACTGCAGGGTCTTGTGAAGTCGATTTTTCCTGTTCACATTGAGCAGAATAGACTGAAACACAAACAGCAGCAGGAGCTTGTTGCGACGAGATGTGCACCTTAGAGACTACACAATCGGGGCATCGAGGTCTTCGTCGTCTTTACAGCACCGCGAACGTTCCTATACCTTCATCACGATCTGCGCCTTGAAGAGTCTCGAATCAACTCTCTGTGCTTGGGTTTTTGAGCCTTGCCTATGCCGTATCGGGGCTTGCACTGCTGTTCGATCCCCGGAGAGGTCTAGTTCTCTGTCCACGACCCGGAGAGAACTGTGGGTTTGCCTTGCGTTGTCAGGACAGCAGAATATTAGTGCAATTCACCAATATACCCACTACCCTTTTCCCACAAGAAACTAAGGCACCAAGGAGGCGGCAAAGCACCAAGTTCCAACCACAACCGAACGCCCCTTGCCTGTGGCAGTCCGACAAGCAGAACAAAACAACCGTTGCTGCTACTTAAGAGGGACCGCTGCAGTCGCCAGGTTGTCTTTGATCGCCGAGCGCTAGCCTATCATCTGCCAGCCGAACCCTACTACCATGTATAAACAGTGCAGCGTTTTTGTTATTATTTCACTGCAAACCACCTTGATGGTGTAACGCCCCCCCCCTCCCCCCCGGTGTTTGCCATCGGGGTTGGGTTTTCGTCGCTTGGCAACGACGTTGTAAAACAAGCCAATTCACTTCGTGAGCTCGGCAACCAGGTCACCGTTTTTTTATTACCTCCGTTTTTTGTTTTGGCGGTAACCATACTGGTGGTCGAGTAGATCATGTTGTGCGGGGTGGAGAAACCTCACTCCGCGCAAGGGGGATGATCGCACCACGTTGTGTTAAAATGGTCAAGCACCCTCGAGGCAGTTACACAGTGATTACAGATGTCTCTGGAAGTGAAAGCACCAGAAAGTAAATTAAGTCGTCCGCAGCTGTCATCCGCACGCAAGGAAGTAAGCACAAGATGCCGAACACCCTTAGCAGGATGCAGCGCACCCTTCATGCGACTCGCCGAATATCTCACGGCGCTTCGCGCTTGGTGATGTGAGAGCCTGGTCCGGTGAGAACCCGGCGTGCTCCGTCCCGGCTTTGTAGGGATGCGAGGTCAATGGTC